ACATATTTATTTGATGAGAAATGACAAATCATCTTAACAACCAGAGTAGCTGTCAAAGTCTTCGGCGAAACGATTCCTTGTATGTGCGTTGTTTTCTTTTCATCTAACCAGCTTCCTTTGAGTTTTGATATGTTGTCTTCAGTCTTTTTCGAATCCTTAGGAGTAAATTATTCAAAGCATCAGGGAGAAAACCTAAAAATCTTCGGCCATCTCCGACATCTTTTTGGAGAAAAAATGCTATGCACGAAAGACTGTTGCGGGGAACAAAGGTAGATGTCGTAGTTCCGTTAAAACCGAAAGACAAAAAGAAATCTTGCTGCCACAGATGCGTTCTTCTGAAACTCATTGATTCAGACCTTGTGGTTGCTTTCCAGAATTCCGTTGTGATCCTGGATGTCACCTATGATATGGGGCCGAAACCAGATCCAGAGGAGTTCAAGAATAAACACTATGCACATTTCGAAGAGCTGATGATGGAGAAAGTTTGTTCTTTTGACTTTTCTGTACCATTTTTGTTGAGGTTGCAACCAGCGGCTACTTCGGGACATAGTCTTCATCGTCGAAGATTGAATCAAATGTCGTGGAGTGATTAGGAAACTTCGGAAAGAGTATTGTCTGGAGGGTGGCGATTTGCCTCTCACGTGATTTTACCAGAATCATTTCAATATCAAGCTAACCATAAGACTTGTTAGGCAGGGTTAAAATGTTACTAGCGAAATGTTAAAGTAGCGGTCGCGCTGGGGGGTTGATAAAACTCCATACGTCGTTAACAGAAAAGGTCGAGATAAGGTGGAGAACTGAGATTGAGAATGGTTGTACGAGCGTAACACTATAGAAGATACGACACGATAAAGTAAGAAGATACGGTGTTGCTTGGTATGAGGTGCACTCGAGAAAGAAAACTGAACGGTAACGATACCGGTATTATATCAGTCATGCTGCCATTGCCATCCTTACCACCTCCGGAATGATGGGCGGGCAAAAGTCCCGGGTTGGACAGTTCTGAAAGGCGGCCGCTTGCCTCCGAGCATCACCTATCTCCATTTGGGTTAGGCTCACGCTAATCAACAATCAACACATCTTTCCCATTTGTTTTCATGACATTTGTCACAACCGCTTCCTTTGACATCTCGTTTGGGAAGTTCTCACCATTAGAGCTGCATTCAGAAAAGGATGTGACGTCACTGCCTTATTATTCGAATATATAATACTTTCTTATGCAGCAGTTCTCTATATCTTGTCCAAATCATGCAATTCAGCCAAAATCCTACCTTGCTGAGCACATACCAGGAGCCGTCCTGTTCAACATTGACGCTGCGTACTATCCGTCCAAGTGAGTTCGTATTAAAATAATCACTTCATTATATAAACCAGAACTTTGGTGTGTCGGTTTGTCGGTGTGTGTGTGTGTCGTTCTGTCCGTCCGGACCGACCGCTCACAAAACCAGGGAGTACGAAGGGCAACACTTCGTGATGTTGATGTCATGATCATGATAACACCCACAGCGGCTATATAAACACCGATCGAGCACACTCAGTCTCATTCTACATGGTGCTGCCGTGGCAGCCGGATGAGCGGAGGGGGGGTAGAGGGAAGGGGGCAAGAAAGGGAGGCTGGAAGGGAGGGAGGGGAGAGAGAAAGAGGGAGGGAAGGGAGAGGAGAAAGGGAGAGAGAACATGGCGCTGCCATGCGCCGGAGAGAAGGGGTATAAGGAGGTATAACACATTCAATAGTGAGGTGGTTAATGGAGTACGTCATGCTGCTATTCCGTGGTTCCTCCCTACCCTGTGATGCGCGCGATAGCGGGCGGAGCAAACCTGGTTAAATAAAATAAATATTGGACTCCGATCAATTTTTTTGATGGATGTGCTGCCCATCGTACGTCAATTTCGAATCAGAATCGCTTGAATGCGACTTGGGTAACACAATGCCTTACGAAGGCAGTCGATGTAAAAGCCGGGGTTTTATTGCGAAAGCCAAGATTACAACTTTAATTCGATTCCTACTTTTGAGCGCTGTAAGGACCAAACTTTCGAGTACTTCTGTGATTCAAACTGTAAACCGAAGACTTTTACACATTGCGTACCGCTTGCGCCACCATGTGGCGCACGATTTCACGATTTATTTGGCAATTTTCGATGCTTCTGATCCCTTTGTATCATTTTCGAAGCCGGGAAACCATACCTGTCATCACTGATAAAATTGTTGGTAGATTAATAATGATTCGTTTAAAAAATATAAAACAAGATACGAAAGTACTCGCACTGTATAACGAGCGGTCCGCGATGTTGATCGTCTTTAAATATTCTTTCTTTTTTGAATCCATTCGTGCTTGAGTGAGGAGCAAATGCTGCACTGTGAAGGCTAAATGCGCTCAGTGCACTTAGCCTCCATGGTACATATAGCCCAAAAGCTACGTATCTCCTCCCGCCCTATATGCTGAGACAGAAAGAGCAACTAAATTCTTGTCATGTAATTTTTTCCATCCATTCTATCTGCAGCAGCTGACAGCCAAACTCTTTAGGTCTTTTAAGGTACATTCGTTTTGACCTTTATCCACCCGAGGATTTCGAAAAGTTTATTCGTCTGCTTGGCGTGAATAATAGCAACCATGTGGTATTGTATGGAAGAGGTTCTTTCGCCGGAATGATGTGGCCAGCTAGGGCATGGTGGACATTCAAGGCGAGGAAATAAGTTTTACCTGAATTTTTTCTCTATTTCAGCCTCTGGACCACTCCGAATCCATCCACAATGAATCAGACAAGAATTAAGAATCCATACTTGAAGGCACAGAAGGTTGCTGGGTTCGGAGCCATCGAGACAATATCACTTCAAAACTAACGCGGGGCCGGGGAGCTAGAGACTTTCGATCTACACCATGGGCACCCGAAGCAAGTGCGCACTCGCATCACGATGGTGTGTGCGCCTCGCCCGTCTTACATACCCTTTCACCTTTGAGGCGTACTCTTGCTTCGGTGCATAGAGCTCCTTTTATTAGACCGCTTCTTATCTATTTTGGGTACCGTTCACCACCCCAATTCGGCTCTCCATATGAATGTTCTTTTTCAGTTCTTCTTCCTCTCGTCACTGCCAGTGACCTCCGCCACTTTAATTTTCAAGCAAATAGAAATCACCATTTCGATCACAGATCACCATAGCTGGGAGGCGATGCATTTTTGCTGAAGTCATTAACTTTATTGGTGAACTGGCCCCCTCAGAAATCGCCCAGCATGAGGGGTGGTGGGGTGGGGACCGCCTCTCGAGTTATCCCCTTCCACCAATAATGTTTAAAGCAACAGTCCCAGCAGGGTGGGCGTGGTCGGAAACGGCTGCAATCCCCTCGGCCGATTCCCACTTCGGAGCTGTTCAGCCCCTAGTCAAGAACGTAAGAAGTGTGACTGAACAAAAACTCACCTTGGAAAGCCGCTAGGGAGGGAGCTGAAGTGGGCGTGGTCGGAATCGGCCGAGGGGATTGCAGTCGTTTCCGACCACGCCACCCTGCTGGGTGCTTTACGACTGCGTTAACGAAAGCGCACCGATCTTCAGATCGGAATTATTGGATTCATTGAGTTGGTGTAAATTTTCATTATTTTGTTTTGAGCTTCGGTCACGACAGGTTTCTGTGCTCAATGGTGTTTGAGCTGTGGAAGAGAAGGACACCTTGTACGAGTGGTGAAACGTCATAGCTGAGAGTAAGGTTTAGTGGTGATCATGCACGTTCAGTGCTTCATTGGAGTAGTTGACGCTTCGGAATGCGACTGCTGGTTCTTGGTCTGGGGGGGGGGAGTTCGCCACTCACCTACGAAACGATGATTGACCATATACGAGAGGGCGGATGATCTTAAGGATATCATGTCATCGCTCGCAGCAGTATAACTTTAAACGCGAAGGACTTGCAAAAAGTCAAAATTGAACCGATCAATGCGCTCATCAAGAATCTGACGGATTGGATAAGTCTGAAGCTCATATAATATTTCAGCCCGGCAATTTCATAGCGAAACCCATCGACCCGTCACTGATCATCACCTTTGAGGAATTGGACCAGAAGAATGCCGATGGAATCCGTTCGAAGATATGGACAGGTAGGAGGTTAATGTAATTCCTCTGAGAATCGGAGCAAGTGGTACTCGAACCAGCGATTTGATCATTTTTGGGTAGTTTTTGAAGCTTAATGGAACACCAGTGCACCGCAGTAGGTTCACAAGGTGCGGCTTACTACATTGTCCACACGTACAAGCGTTTCTTGCCAGGCGGCCCTCGTCGCTGAGATGTTGATTGAGGGTGAAGAACGCATTGCAAAAGCGCCAGCTGCTTTCTAAAAAGCGCTTACTATTCTACATATGTAATGTAGCGAGCGAGCATATTAGGTACTTGAAACAAGTGTGCGCCGAATTTAGTCAGTGCAGCTATGTCAGGGTGTTGTCTATAGTGCGCAACTCCACCTCAAAGTGGGCTTGTCAGTGCCGCTATTGGGGAAGTCATGGTATCCACTTCCAAAGCGGAGTGCATCAGAAATCAAAGTAGGGGTGGTCGGGGTGCGGGGATGAAGAAAAACCATAAACGGAAGTCAATCCGTGAAACGGGTCCTCTTCCTTGACTTCCGCATCGATGCGACTCGATCGTTGCCAAATTTCAACGCTAACGCTCTCTCTGGTCAAAGGCTAGAGTCAGACGGCGAGGCGGTGGCATACCGCGGCGAAGGTACGGCCCTGGTAGGCCGCTGGACGAATGCTCTTCGCTACGAAATGCTCACCCTTGGGGACACGCCTACCCTTCCACGTGGTAGATTTTCCCTTCTTCAACCGACCTTATCGTAGAATCCTCCTTTAATGTGCAAATACAATCTTAGAACGCCGTTTGTCGGTGAGTTTTATGCACGTCTATCTGTCCATCCGCAAGTGCTCGAGGTGTGATAAGGAAAAAGGTGGGAATAACCAACCGCTAGCGTACATAAGTGGAAAGCTGGAAGGGCAACATCCAAATTTTGTGGTGTTCTTATGATACACTCACAACTCCTATGTGTTTCATATAAGCGCCCACTGTGTACATTCTCGAAACTCCACATGACGCTACAGTGGCAGACGGAGAGCACGAGAAGGGAGGGGAAAGGGTTTGGGGAAAAACCAACCGCAAATAAACCTAAGACCTTACATCATCAGCATCGAGTTCACGTCACTCTGACGTGATGCCATGGTTGTGGTAAGATACTCTAACTCTTCACTCTGGAACACCCACTGAGCACATTCTCGGCCATTGAAAATGGTGCTGCAGTGGAAGGTGGAGCTCATTGGAGGTGGGCAGATGCGGAGGAGAAAGAGAAGGCAACCGCCAACAAAAAAGTCCCAATCGGCCGTGAGGGTTCATTCCAACGATGTCATAGTTGCGCTTGTACCGTCTGTTATATGAGGAGCCCTTGTGTACATACAAATCCACTTCACAACGTGGTAACCTCGCATGTAAAAGTCAGGACTGAGGGATGCGTGGAACACACCGCTGCGGAACAGGCTTGAGTGACCGCGACGCTGCCAAGGCCGAGTATCTGGTTTTATTTGTTTTTTTGTTGTTATTGTTTTGTATTTCAGATGATGGGTGTGTTTGGTTCTAAAAAACTAGCTCAATCTAACTTTCAGATCAATTATCTTGATGCGCGTCCGGCGGCACAGTACAACGGTAGTGAACCACTGGGTATTCCGGCAAAAGGTTTGTAAAGGACTTCTATTAAGTCGTACGGAAAGTGATGCGAGTTTTTGACCTCTATTTTTCTGAGGAAAATAGTTTCCGTTTGAGTTGATCATTTTCAATCAGACCAAATACTTGGAAACTGACGGATTCTGTTTCAACAAGATGCACACTTGAACGTCCCGCACGCATATGAAAATGAGCGCTTGTGGAGGCGATAATATCGGCGAACGTCATTTTTACATCATTTTGTTTTCTCTGACATTTCGTAGTCAAGAACTTATCGAGATGGTTGGAGAGACGGGCACTTGTAGGAGAGAGGTCCAGCGAGTAACGACTATGTATATGGAGCGAAGCTTGCATCGCTAGTTTATTAAATCCTTGCGACGGTCGTTCATCGGATGTGTGGCAAGAGCGTCATCATGAAAGGGGTTGTTTACTTTCTCGCTTGCCATCGAGGGTGCTTCCAGAGCATCATCGCTGGCTGTGCTGGCCAGACATTGGGCTTGTAATTAAAGGACGAATTCACGATGAAAAAGCAACCCATTTCAAATTAACCTAGGGATGGTGAGTGGTACACGAAAGAAGGAAGAACCATGAGAAACGGCCCAGAACCCGAGAAATGGTACCCTTCCTTGCCCGTTGATTCGAGCATTGATGCGACTCTCATCGCTGTGCCCTCTTCAACACTACGCTCTCTCAGCTATCTAATCACTCGCCACGTATTGAACTACGGCGAGTGATCAGATGATCGGTGGGCGGAGATCGCCGGACCCGCCAGCTTTGAGGCATGATAGGTCGCCGAGGTCAAAATTTTTCCATGCGAATTGCGCGTCAGTCCGCACCCTCAGGAGGTCCGTGGGTCCCTCACCTAGGTCAGTTTCCCTTTTCTTTCCCGACTTTGAATCCTATCGTGAATTCCTCCTTTAATATCCACGTGGGTTCCCCATTAGGTGTGGTGTGTCAGTCGCGTGGAAGACGGCCGAATGTTCAACTAACTTTTATCTTATAAAAATTCTTCTTTGGAGAATTTTTCGAAGATTCATCGCGGTCTACTACTGGAGAGCAATATCCACGTAGTGATTGTCTTGGAATGTGCCCTTTGAGCTCGTAGTCGCGCGGAGCAGAGAAAAGCATGTTTGAAGATTGTTTAGGCTTTATTATCTTGCCCCCGACCCGAAAAAAACGAGTCAAGCGCTTCCATCTCTTTGCATTTTTTCTGCATTTTTGCATGCACGGTATGATCAGTTCTAATCATTGGACACGCAAAGTCAACTCCACTTTGTACCGAAGTCAAATCCGTACTGATCGCTCCCCCTGCAATACAATACAAATTTACTAATATTAAATATTTCTTGGCCCAGCGTGCCACTGGTGCTCACCTCAAAGGATCCAAGAGCGTGCCATTAGCACTAGTTGTTTCGGAAAATGGATTGAAACCGAAGAGAGAGATAATACGAGGTTAGTCAACGGGTTATACGAATGAAGGTACAGCTCCACCATTGCTTTCCTGAAATCTCCACAAAAAATATTCCGCTGAAACTTTGTCAGAGGGTTGTCTCGGGGGTTATTTGTTTCCGCTGATTGTGAAGGGGCATTCCTACTCCGCGCGTCAAGCAACAAAATTGAATGTAACTATGTTCGATCAAGGGCATTGAACACTCCTCATCAACCGGTCTCTGTAGAAAGTACTCTCCTTTTTTGTTTTGAGGCCGGTAATGGTGACTGTGCTCTGGACGAGATTTTTCGTAAGGTCGCTTAGGAAGGTATTATATAGAATAGTTACGTCATTTGTTCGTTACAGTTCTCAAAATGCTGGTTTCAACAAAACGCTGCCTACGGTGACGGCATGTTTGTCTGGAGTGCAGGCCTCAATGCTGGCTTTCGTTCTTTCACACGTCGGTGTCAAAGCGAGGGTATATAATGTGAGTGGTTTATCTGTACGCGGGTTAGGTCTCCAACAACGGCAAGATTCTTTTGGTTTCTGTAATTAAAAGCACGGTAACCTGTTTTGACCCCCGATCTGATAGAGAGGTAGCCATGTGCTGCTGTCGTGCCCTTTTTGTGGCGTCAAAAAACCCCCGGGGTTCGCTCCACTCACAACCGAGTCAAAGGCCCATTGTTCCAATTCCCGAAATTTCATCTTCTACAATTGAAATTGTTCTTACAAATAAATATTACACTTTTTCTTCAGCCGGGTCTCGATACGGCGCTCCACACACCTAGGCCTTGATGAGTTCCCAACTACGCCACCCCTTTTTCTACCTTTGACCTCCATCCTCACCGCTAATATGGCCCTCACCTTCATAAGAAAAAAAAAAACCCCTCAAGCTACAACCATCTAGTGGAGTGCACTGTTACCCGGCTCTGCAAATCCAGACGCCTTCGTCGAAACCCCAGCTTCCGCTGAACCGCACCACGCTAGCCGCTTAGCGTTAGCGTTACGGCTCAATGTCACGCATACCTGTGATGAAGAGATGTTATACCTACATACTTCTACTCATCGGGGACCGTAAAATACAAAAAATGGTGGCTAAATTGAAATGTCGTTTTTCATCAACGACTATTTTAACTATAAAAGCTATATCAAGGCACATCAACCTAAATTATTTCCTCCATGTGTGTCACTCGCTCTTCACCCTTTTGTTACGCAAAGTACCGCGTAGACCTCTTTCGGGTTTCAACTCGGAGAATTGGCAGCTCGAGATTTTTTACGTTGTCAGCGGCTTTAATCGATACTGATCTTGCTGCCAAGGAGTGTTGCCAGCACCTGGTTCCAATGATAGTCGGATAGTGCCAGACCTGGGCTATATGGCGCAGGAGGTAACACGTTCCAGCCCAACTCCTCGATTTCTTGTTGTCTGATTTTCACGATGTGTGGTCTTCCGTTATTGTGCAATAATTTTACATTGACAGAATTCACCCCTTGATTCGAATGCAGCGCCTTGCCCCCAGCGCTTGAGCTGTCATAACGCAAGAGTTCAACCATAACTGACCCAACAAATGCAGCTAATCCATGGTGCACCGTTTGCTTTAGCCACTATATCACCCATAATAGAAGCACGACCATTTGGTTCCTGACGTGGACGGTCAGCTTCCGTAAGTAACCTCTGGCTGTCTCGTCACGCGCTCACCATGGTCATTTCTTGCTAATGTTCCGCCATCATCCCTTTGTGAAATTTGGTCAAATGAACGTCAACACTGTTTTCTCTGCAAAGTTTAAAGCAAGAGTCCCCGTATTTGCGGAACAGACTTTGCCCTTCGAGTCGCACAGTTACATGCTTGCTCGCTGCGCTAATACCAGTAGGCTAATCTCGTTTCATCGCGCGAAGCTTAAAGGAAGCGATTACGATAGATCTCAAAGGGGTTTAGAGGGGACGTGGGGGTCTCAATAGTACGCCAATGGCGAAAAAAGCAAAGAAATCCGTCAAAAATAAGCAAAATGGTACCCCTTTGATTGCCCTTTCATTTTCGACCATGGATGAGCGACGGTAAAGAACGACGTTGTTCGGACGTGTTAACCCCGATAGCCGCCATCATGCCAACAAGCATAGTGTTCTGATTTATAAGGATATACAGTAGCGGTCAAAAGTCTTCGCCGAAATTGTTTTTCGACTGTAACTTTTTTTCCGCTGAATCAAATCAATTCAAATTTTAATATGTTTTAGAGATAGTCCTACTTCACTTAAACGGCATATTTGTTTCGGATTGAGAAAGAATTAAGAATGGAAAAAATCATTTCACTAGAAATTCTCGCGTATGAGCAAATTCCAAGTAGGTTTCAAATTACTCTAGCAAGCTTACAATTCAACAAAACAATCTTACGCATGATGAATAACACTGGGCAGGTCCAATACTTTGTTAATGATCTTCTGGGTTCGCTGAAATACTAACAAGGTATGCTATACGAAGTTTAAACAAGGCCTAAGTAAGGAATCAGTCATTAAACGCACTGTCTACTAGGGCAGCTTCCTCCACTTCTCTTGAAATTTGACGAGTTTCTCCCCCATATTCCCTGGTTCTAATTTCCACCAAAGGTATCCCTACTCTTTCCCATAATGTTTCGATGGCGCTCGGGACATTGGTGTGAATTGTTCCTTTCGTTGAAAGCGCGCCATGCTGGCGAAGCCACTCCTTCACAGTGAAGGTGTGATGCTTTTGGTCGCACTAATGCTAGAAGGCGAGCTCAGTCGCGGGCAGCTGTCATACACGTGGATAAGAGCTCCTTCTAGAACCCAACTGTATAGGCTGCCTTCACATGATTGCGAATACTGCGAAGTTAGTCGGCGGTGAACTGGTCGGGGGCGAAATGTGCTTACGCACACCTAAAGTGGGGATCCCCATAGGGCTACAACGTCCTGCGGACCAACGAGAGTGAATTCAAGATGTTTGCCGGCGACTGAAATAGGAATGTGTGCGGTCCTGAGAGAAAAACGTTTCGATCCAAGGAATTAACTGCCGTATGTAAAACTTGGCGGAGGCTCGCG